GGCACAGCTCATTAAGAGCTGTTTTAGAGCATTTTCCCAAGTCTTTGAATTGTGCAGCTATTCAAAATATGTTGTTTTAGGGCCCCTGTGATTTTTACTTAATTCAGTTGCTGTACTATTTTCAACGGACTGGTTCCACAAACTATATGACCACAGCTGGGGGAAAAGGAGGAGGTATTTGGTCCTTGTTTGTGACATGATGAAATTCTGGTGCATTGCACTGTCCTTTAAGAAATGCTTTAAATACAATTATTTAGGACCTCCAATACATAGGCCTCATGACCTAGAGTTGCAAAGGAAATCAAGAGCCACAAGTATGGTAGTAATGGAAGTAAATTCAACTTTTATAAATGCTTCAGATCACAAGATTTATGAGTTGCGAGGGGCATAGAAAACAAGAACTGGACATGGATTTTAGGAGTCCTGTGTTCAAGTCCTGTCTCTGCCAAATTCTGTATGTGACCTCTGACCAAGTATTTGTAGTCAGTAGGTTCAGCAGTATGCTGAACTTCCCTTCCCTTACTTGAGGGAAGTGTGCGCATGTCTGGAATGGTGGATATGCTTAACAACTTGCACACTGTCAGGCAAGGAGCACAAGGTTGTGACTAGTTGAGTCTGAGTGCATTGCAGTGCCTGGGTGCTCAGAGATCTGGTGTTGTTTATATAGTTTGTATGCTGCTCACTGGCTATAGAGTTGGCTCTTGAACGAAAATACCAGCAGCCATTGACAATTTGAGGTCTCTATGAAAATGCTAATGCCAACTACATTTGAAAATCACCATGGGCCAGTCAAAAAAGCCCAATCTGCACCCACCCCATTTTGAGAGGAATCGCATCCAGCAGGGTCAACAGTCCTCAGTTGCTGCAATGCCTAAATGACCTCTTCCCCTTTGGTGGATATGGACTCCAGGAAACACAATGGCAGTGATGCTGAAGGAATTCTATGCTAAAGCTTGCCAGGCCGTGATCCAGCAAACAAAAACGGGTCTCCTCCTCTCCCGTGTACTGCTGAACTGTTCTGCAAGGGCCTGAAAACATTCAAGGAGGAAAAGGGTTGTCTTTTGGATAGGCAAGCCTCTAGGAATCCTCTCCTGGCTCCAAGTTCAAATCATCCACCAGCAGGGCTCCAAGTCTGCATGCCTCAGTCATCTGTTAACAGAAACGATATGCAAACTAATTGCAGCCAGAGTTTTCATGTTTCATTTCCTGGTTTTACCTGATTTTTTTTTCTACATTTTTCTGAGCAGCAAGCAGAAAACAGAATCAAAGAGATTACCCAAAAGCAACACACATTTTAAAAAGTAGAGGGCAATCCTGGAGTCCATTTAACTCTAGTGCACACAATTTTATTCTCTGAACTAAAAAAAGGGGCAGATTATACACTAACATTTAATGCACTTAAGAAGCTAATGTAACCATGTTGGTTCGTAAGAAACCAGTTCAGCCATACCTTTATTGGGACCTATGAAAATGTGGCAGAAGCGGAGCTTTTGAGCTCTCCTGACGAAGTGTCTTGGACATCTTGAAAGCGTGTCACATTTTTGCAGGTCCCAATAAAAAGCATTGCTCAACCGTGGATTCTGAAGTTTCATGCTGGGGGGGGGGACGACACCTGTGGCCCTCCAGATGTTGGACTTCAGATCCCACCAGCCCCAGCCGCCATGGGTCAGGGAAGGGAGTTGCAGCCATGCAACATCTGGAGGGTCACAGGTCTTCTCCACCTCAAGTTTAACAAACTTCTTTACAAGCCTGTTAAAACCTTCCCCACTGCATCCTTCCCACACTTTCCAACTGCAGCAACCAAAGGATTACTTGCCCAACCCAGGTGCCTATCACATTGCTGATACTAGTCAAATCTCTGTCCCTCTTTCCTTTCTCCTCTGATGCCCTCTAGAGCCCCAGCCTCCCAAATACTTGCACAGCTGTTAGTTGCAGCAGCCCTGGCTATAAGCTCCGCAGGCACTGGGTGGAGGCAGCTCAGAGACCAGGGGCAGCAGCAGTAGCTGCCCAGAGGACTCCCAAGGAGAGGGGAGAGAGGCAGCTAAGGGAGCACTCCACAAGGGAGGGTGTTTGAAAAAGGGTGAGGCTGCCAGCTCAGCAGGCAACTGGTGACATAACTGGGCTCCTGGGCCCCACAAGGGTGCCACAGGAAGAATGTAGCTGCTTAAGGGAGCTGTGAACTCAGAAAGGTTGAAAACCTCTGGCTTATGGCCAAAGGTCTTCACAAGGATACTCTGTGGTCAGGATCTGGCAAATAATCTGACACTACAACCCCTGGTTCTACCAGATGCAATTATGCATATCACTGAGAGGTTCATCCACTGCGGCCATTGGAGTGGTATTATATACTCCTGTTTTTACTCTTTGAATTATTTTGTATTTGTTTTACCATGAGGTTCCAGGGTGGATGAAAATTTTACATACAATAATGCAAGTTCTGCTTGCATTAATAAGACTCTCTCTCTCCTACCCATGCTCACCCCAAAATCTGCTAGTCTCTCCCAGCCCCCTGGAGATTTTGAGGATGAACAACAGGCTGCTCAGTGGAGGAAAAGTTAAACTGCAAAAGCAGAACGGCAGCATTGGATTTAACTTAAAGGAGTTTCCTTTCCATCCTACGTAAATGAAAATTCTGATCGCTACCTACTAATTACTGCTTCTGACAACTGGGCCCTTTGTCACCCCACATGTGCAGACACATTACTACAAGAGATAAAGTTTCTGGAGTGCAGGTGGGATTCAGGCAAGAGCTGAACTTGAAGTATACCCTCCTACAGAGTGCAAGGGCTCCATGCAAGTGTTTTAGCTGGCTAAATTAACTGATTAAGTGTGCAGAACTGTATTCCTTAAACCAGGAATAACCAATAAGGTGCCCTTCAGCTGTGGGGATCCACTTCCCATCAGCCCCAGCTAACATGGTCAGAAGGGATAATGGAGTAGGCCAACAACTTCTGGAAGGCTAGGAGCTCCCCATTCCTGTTTTACTTGGCTGCAAGGCCCCCAACTGCTAATCCCAACTACAAACATACATTCAGGAGCATTAACCTTTTTATTTATTTTTTGCTTCCAAGTAGTTTCTTGAGAAAAGTGTAGATTCCCTAGTAGTGAATCATGAGAAGTAGCTCCAATAATGGCTAAGAGAAGCCAGAGGCTTCCCCCTAACAGAGTATCACTTTGTTTTCCACGAAGCAACTTGATCATGTGCCAATTATTGAAGGATCATGTGCCAATTATTGAAGGCTATAATTTGCATTATTATGCAGCAAGTGCCGTACTCTAGGGTGTTTGATCCAGCACCAGAAACCTTATGAGGCTGACAATCTTTTGCCACAAGCTAAGACCCAAGTGTTTTATTATGCAAAGGCAAGTCACATGTTAATTACAGGTCTGGCTTTCCCCCGATGAATATTTACCTTTTTCCTTTGTCTCGTTTGTGCCTTTTTAGCCATTACTAAACAAGCGTAGACCTTTTATCATTAGAATCCTGTTTACCTCAGCAAGGCTCAAAGTCTCATCATGCAGCAGTTACCCAAGAGGCTATTTTCAGTTTACATTTCTGAGGAAGCTCACTGTTCCTCAGTCATTACAGTTCAAGAGGACTTTACTGGACTTTGAAAAAGCAGCTGTGATGCACAGGGCCTCCCCGGCACCAGTGAAGGCAAAAACCTAAGCACTGCAAATAGGATACTCCCTCTCTACCTCTTCCTCAATAGCTCTGTGAGGAAGGTGGGAGAGATACTGACCGGCCCTGACCCAGTAAACTCTATGGCTAAGAGATCTGAACCCAGCCTTTCAGGATCCAATCTTTATCCAATGAGCTACACAATTAAACAGGGGTGAAGAACCACACAAAGGATCCAGTGTCATTCCAGGGCCCTTTGTGTTTGCCTGCTAAAAGGTAACTTTTAGCATTTGATGCATGGCCAAAGAACTTGTTTATACCCTCAGAACTCCCAAGAGGCTGGTGATTATTCTACCTTAAATGGCTTCGTCACAATGTAGCCTATCGGATGATTTTGCCGGAACTATTCCTGCCACTTTAGTTAGTATAAACTAGCTGCAAGCACTACATCTTAAGGCACACAGCTTTATAGCAGCTGACGTAGCAAGATCTGGACAACCATAAGGACATCATCACTTCCAGATTAGCAGGAACCAGAGATTGTGTGGTTCACATTGTAACACAATGGCTCTTCCTTACCTTACTTAAAAATGCACCCCCTACTCAAGTCAGCTAAGCAAGACTTTTATAGCTGTTAGGTTGGAACACCTTAGTTTTTGAGCATGTGTGTGGAGCGATGGGTGCATCGCTTTACTTGCATACAGGATGTGTCAAGAACGGTGAGAAGTACTGCCTAGCACAGGGGACGGGTGCTACAGCCCACCACATTTGGAACTAGACTTAATGGCCAGCAAAGTGCAGGGTTGACAGTGTTGAGCCTGGGAGACCAGGATCCATGAGGTGGCCTCAGGCAGATGCTGCCATTTATCTTTCAGGAAAGTACTTTCTTTGGATTAACTTTTAGCCCACAAGTGCGGCCCTTCAAGAGCTCTGAAGTAGGAAGGTAAGGCAATGGAACAGTGAGTCAGCCCACATTCCAAGGTCTATTTACACGAAACTAAAGCACTGGCTTGATAAACTTGTCTTGCCCAATACAGAAGTCAAATAGTCTTACCTTGTTATCCAAAATCTGCACTCGCCAACAGTTGTGAGAGCCCTTGAACAATGTTTTCTATCCCACTACAGAGGAGCAGACTACATTGCTTGAACTCCAGCGCATGACCATGCAGGATCCACGATGCTCAACTTCCAAGAGGGGTCAAACTCAACCCTCTTCACGGCTCACCACTGTTCCCATGGGGTGACAGGGATCCAATGCAAATGAACGGGCCACAAATACCCATTCAGTTCCCAGGCCAAGGAGCTTAAAGGCTGAATTCATTCATCATGGCACAAGACAATGTAAGAGGGCATTATTTAATACAACAGAACCACCATGCACTTTTTTATAAAATTTTATTTTGTCAAAAGAAAAAAAAGGCAATAGCCAATTGAAAACCTACTTAATCTTAAGACTCCAATTTCTTTGTCTTTAAATTTAGATAAATGACTTATTGGTTTAACGTTTTTAAACAAACCCCCCTTTTCCCGTTTAACATTTACCATCTACTCGTGCTGAATCCTTCCAAGGAGAATGCTCCAGCGTACCTCTCCAGGTCCTTGCTTTGCTCCTTTTACCAAAAAATGAAAACTCCATCGTGCATCTTAAGGGCTCCAATCGTCAAAAATAGGAAAAATCTTTGGAATAGCCAATTGAGTTGAATAAAAATCCACACGAATGCGGTTTGGTTGGGGCAGGAATCCACTCCTATGTTCCTGGTAATTTGATCCCGCTCCATGAATCCTTGCAATTGATCCTCCCTATCCTATCCACATTATGATTTGAATCCAATGATCCAGCTCCAAGGATTGGGATCCAGTGAGCCCTCTCCAATCCAAACCTTTATAACCAGCAAAACCAAAAAAAAGGAGGCAAAAAGTTAGATACTGTAATGAAAAATAGGATTTAGGAGAATGATAAGTTATGTCTGCTATTGAATAATAAAGATTGGCATTCATAACTATCAATTCCCCAAGACAAGCTTTTGAATTGTGAAGCTTAGATTTTAGCAATGTTAATTATCTGGAGGAAACATTCTAGTATTTACACAGGGTAACTGATAATGCCAACATATCAATTCCTATATGGCGCTTTACAGGTTTGGTGGTTGAAAAAAGTTTTCTATGAAGTTGCAAAAACTTGCTGCTAAAGCTATCCACCTACTGCATATCTAAACTAAAAGCTCATTATTGTACTATCTGGGAGGTAACAAATTTAATTGATGCAAGTCAACTCTCGACTTATCCTGAAGGGGAAGACGTGGATTTAAAAAGAATCCCCCATGTTTAAAAACCCTCCTATAATTGCTTTCATTCTGTTACTTTTAAGATGAAACAGCAATGCTATATCAGTCACACAGAGGACATGCAGATTTTAGCAGTATTGAGGTTATACTTACAGGTTTGAAACAACCTGTACTTTACAGGTGCACTAATGGTTTGCACCTGTAATCAAACGATACATTGCAGTCACTCAGCATACGTCCCCCACCCCCAGAGACTGGAAGAGTTACATGGGTATATTTAGCATTCATTGCATCATGGAAGTTAGAAGATTACAGCTAACTAATGGAACAATGGAGGTGTTGTGTACTAGGCTAGTTTCAGTATAAGGTCAATACTGCCAATTTAATCTGTGACAATAGCACTTGGAGTCATACCATTGCCTCCATTATTGATCTGATCCTCCTCAATCCTCCTTTTGACAATCCTAAAATGATTGACATGTGTTCCACAATCCTTTAATCCAAAGCATTCTTAATCCATCTCTTCAGATATGTCTACAGAAAGACACATGAAAAGGCAAGATAAAAATGTAAACTCCCCCAGAAGAGACAAGTTATAGCACAATTTCCCCCCAACATTCCCAGCTTGTAGAAACCATAGTTGAACAAAGACATTTTATACAGCAATACCATATTGGAAGAGAATATGGGCAGCAAACTACCTAACTAGAGAGAACCCTGCCTAGGACATGGTAAAATACAATTCATCAAAGACATGAGGGAATGTTGATGTTAAGGAGCAAATACTCACTAGGGATATTATACAAGAATGCAATTCAACACTTTAGCCAATTTTGAGTAAAACAGCTTGAATTTTTTCTTTAAAAAAAGAAAGACTATACTGAGTAAAGGAAAACTGCGTACAACATGGAGGGGTTTTCTACAAAAAGGAGCACCATTAAAGATCATTTATGTACGGGAACGTGATCTGCTGTGACGGGGAGAGTAGCGTGGAGATCCTCTGCTTCTTCTCGGGGAATAACTGCGACTTCTGCTGTTGCTTCGGCTACGGCTTCTGCTACGACTACGGCTGCGAGAGCGAGATCTTCCGTAACTTGGACTTCTTGGGCCATCAACTTTAACACGGATGTAGGCAGTTTCTCCCTATCAAATAGACACAACTTTCGATTGAAAGGTCTACGCTTTTGAGCTGTCTTTGCAGGCATGCTGACAGACTGAAGGTCTTTTTACAAGAACCAAGAGGAGTCTCATCACATCTCCCTGCATACCATTCTTAACATGGGATGTCCCAACATGTTTTCAGTATTTGTTAATGCTGCAAACAGAGACTGCGCCTCCTTACCTTCCATCCTATTGCATCCAATTGTAACCCTGTGCATCCAATTCTGGTCAAAACATTAAGTGGAAAACCTACCTCATGAGATCTAAACTTAGTGTTATCCAGTTTTCGTACTGCGTAGGTCATATCTTCTTTCCGTACAAACTCCACGACACCCGTTCCATCTCGGAAAACATCAGCATAACATACATCACCTGCTTCACGCATGTGATCCTTTAAATCCTGCCAGCTTCCACTGGGAGGTAGTCCTGAACAAGAGACAGATATTTTCAGTTAAATGCTATTAAGCGGAGACTGATGCCATCAGACCTTCATGTACTCAAGAAAGAACTGTCTTTGGAGAGGGTCACAAGTAGAAATTCAATTTTTCCAGCAAGTTGCATGTTAACAACATGTTAAAGTACATACATCCAGGTTTCAGGATTTTTGGAAAGTACAAAGGCTTACTGTTCTTTAAAAAAGGCAACAGAAGCAGGAAGCTCTATAAGGCACTAGGGCCCCAAATAACCATTGCAAGCTTGCTTTTGATTTTTTTTTTAACAAGACCAAACAACCACTTTAAAAAAAGAAAATGAAAACTAAGCTTTGCAGAATGCCAAATTCTCAGAACTCACTATATACCTGCCCAATCTTCTTCCTAGATGATCAAGCTGTATTTGAACAAAGAAAGCTGCTTTTCCCAAGTGCACAAATGACTTACCTGATACTATCACTCTGTACTCTGATCGCCTGGATGGGGGTCCATATCTGCCCCTTGGGGCCCCACCACCTCCACCGCCTCCTCCTCCCCTGCCAGTGCCCCGTCCACTTCGAGGAAACTCCACTCGTAGACGATACCCATCATAATCATATCCATCCCGTCCGTAGACTGCATCCTCCGCATCCCTGCAAAAATGGAAGAAAACCACACTGAAGATAGATCAAAGGCTCCTGAGAGCTGGCAGCGCATTGTGCGTTTGTTACTGGGCAGCATGTCACTGCCCCTCCCTTGTTAAGTAAATGACACTAGAAGTACAGGTCACTATCCCATAGAGGCTTGCAGTTGCAAGGGGAGAAACCAACAGTCCTGAGTGACAAAACCTTTCACCTGAGCACAAGTTAGGTTGGAATGGTGTAGCACTAGATCAGTGTTTCCCAAACTTTTGCCTCCAGCTGTTTGGACCACAACTCCCATCATCCCTAGCTACCAGGACCAGTGGTCTGGGATGATGGGAGTTGTAGTACAAAAACAGATGGAGACCCAAGTTTGGAAAACCCTGAGCTAGAACTGGGAAACAAGTAACAGAGCTGTACCCTGTGTCATGTCAAGCATGGAATTTGACCCACTGGTGGGGGTTTGAGAAGGAAAAGCAAAGCAAAGGTAGGTGGAACGAGGAAGCAACTCATACAAGGGATCCCAGCCTAAACACACAGTGGTATATAGACAGCTAAAGGCTGGATAAAATCAAAATCAAGGAAGTGCCTGAGATTATGCATTGTGGAGCCTTTTATATTTGCATGTGCTATGCCAATGCATGAAGGAACCAGACCACCACAACAGAAAAGGAACTAAAACCTTGTTAATTACTTAAAAGAATGTTGCTTTTATGTAAAACGAAGACATGATTTTAGTCATTAACAAGATTTTAGTAACATGTACTGAGTTGTATCCGAACTAAATCACTGTGAACTTTTCCTTCCTTTCCTCCCTGCCCCCTTCTCTGGCACAGTCCCAAATCTGCTCTGAATCATTAGGGGAAGCCACAGAGCAGATGGGAGAGCTTGTGGGGTGAGAAAATGGGAGGGGAGGTTTGTTCACAATGATTTAGTTGAATACTAGCCACTACTTTTATAAGAAAACTACTTGCCATATATGCATGCTCTTGTTAAAAAACCAGAACAGTACAAAAAACAATAAATGAACTTTTAAAGTTCTGCAACTCTATGCACACTTACAAGTTAGTAAACTAAACTCCACAGTCCTACATACACAGAATGAACTGAAAGAATTCTGAGCTGACCACTAGACTTCAAGTGAGGTGTATACAGAGACTGCTTATAGTTAAAGTAGCACCTCAGGAAGATGGTCACTCTAATCCTCTCTTCAGTGTTAATGATAATTCAAGATGCAGTATGAAATGCTAGTTTGGAATTCTTCTACTGCATTATGCACAACTTGCAGATCAGCTCTCTGTCTTAAGATTCTGCTGTATAGCCATGTTGGGATGTATGTACAAAAGCCTTGAGTTGTGGGATTCCATGTAGAAAAATCAACAACACTGTAAAAGTTCTCTTGAGTCTCAAGAGAGAGGCAGTAAATGATGTCTGCCTCCGCCAGGACCCAGGACTAGCTCTACTCTTGGGGAATTTCCAGGCCCCTCCCCTAAATTTTTATTCGTAAGAAAAATATTTTACTCTTTTACACATAAAGATGCACAGGAAAGCATGCAAATGGGTTTTTTTTTACCAAATTGCTCACAAATATGTAATATGTTGTAATCTTCTATGTATTCAAAAGCATTGGGACAATTGCTAAAAACAGGAGAAAACAGAGGCAATGAAGAACAGCCCCACAAATTCTGAAAAGTTGTGAAAGTGGAAATTTCCACAGGCATAGTTTCTCCCAAATAATATCTCATTTTATACACAAAAAGTTGCAGTATAGATGTTCTGTCCGCCCTTGAGACACAAGAAGCAATACAAACTTGATTTTAAAAATGAGTGGGTCCTACTTTTAAGTTGTAGTTTGTCTATTTAGCAAATATCTACTCTGCATTTCAGCAGAAGCTTCTAAGGTGGCTAGCAATAAAGTTTAAGAATAATTGTGATGACATTTGGCTGTAAGCCAATACAAGCTTTTGTAACATTGTTTTAAAAAGAGCAATTAATTAACACAATGCTACACATACACAGTGAAGCATGAAATTTCATCCACTAAAAGCCTGGGAGTTAAACATGAATTTTGGGGCAAAAAGGCTTGAAGACAACTGGCTTAGGAAAACATGCTTCCAAGCAAGCACTCACAAGATCATTCCATTTAATACCTGCAACCCACCTTCCTTTCCTGAAGCAACAAACAAGAAAATAAAAAACAGTGTCAAATCCTATGAATGCATAGTAAAGATTTATATGGGACTGCATATTACTACATTTTAATTCCTCCATATCTCCAAGGCTCTCTGAGCATTGCACAACAACCCTGTGAGGCAGGCCAGGCTGAGTAATAGTAAAAAAAAGCTGATAGTGATAGCCCAGTGGGCTTCATGGGGTTGTGTGGGGATATAAATCATTTATCCTTTACAACCACACTGCATCACGCTGACAGCATGTGACTAGCTCAAGGATCTTGGGAGCCAGTCACCACATCTCAGCATAGTCTCCTAGCAGGGCTACTACAAGGAAATGATTCAAAGTCCTCAACCTTTAAAGCATATGAAGTGGCCTCATTTTCTCTGCCTAACCTATCTAACAGGGTTGGTGCAAGAACTGATAAAGAGGTATGGGTTTTGGATTGGTTAGATATGCCGAGCACTTATGAAGGCCAGGATAAATTATCTAGAAGTAGTAAACGTTTTCTAAGTACAGCTCTGCTAGCTATAAACACACTCTCTCCCCATCACCCAAAGCCTTAGGGTCCTTGGGCCAGTTTGTTTATCTCAGCCTGACCTACCCCACAGGATTGCTGTGAAGACAAAAAGAAGGATATATAAAAACCTTTGAATTTGTTAGTTGTCCTGAGACTGATTGAGCTAAGAAAGTAGGGGGGAACGAAACAACCACCACAGGCTGCAATCCTAACTTCACTTACCTGGAGGTAAGCCCTATTGAATTCAACTGTTACTTTCTGAAAGTAATGATTCAGGATACTGTTTTTAAACACGTACACAAAATTGGCCATGCCCAATTTTAGTCCTACTCAAAGAGTAGACCTACTGGTTTGTATCCTCAGAGTGGATCCATTGAAAATAAGGGTCACAACTTGTTTATTTAAAAGCATTTAAAATCCGTTCAATATTTCAAAAAACTCTAAGTGGTGTGTACCCCATAAACAAACAATACATCATTAAAACGTTAAACAAAAACACAGCCTAACACAAATAAAACAGCTGTATTAAAAACATACATATAAAAAGCATTTAAAACAGAAATCCCAAGGATTCAAACATGTAAAGAAACAGAGCCCAATATTATGGACTCATGCCTCCAGGTTTCAATTCTACTCTTGAATAAAAGTGTGATACAACCCAATGGTTCTAATTGGCCGCCTGCCTCCCAGTCCTACTCAAGAGCAGACTATTGAAATCAGTGGCCTTTACGCTGGATTTTTATAAAACGTGCATTACATTAGGGGAAATCGCTTTGCCCCCCCTAAAAATAACCACCACCTAGCCAAAAACCGCATATATATATATATGTGCACCTTGCAGGAAAACCCCGCACCGGAGTGCTCATCAGTTTCCACGGCGCATTTCCAACTGCGAGTGGCGCGCAACGCCCAGCCCTACTCTCGAGTTGGCCCGCTGAAGTTAACGGGCGCAAATAACTTGGGCCCGCGGGATATAACCCAGCGAGGCTGTTTTTCTTTACATGCCGTCGAGATTCCTTCGCCCCGAGCGTGCAACACGAGGCAGCGGCGGCGTGGTAAGAGGAACGAGCGCACGAGGCAGGATTCGCGCTAAGGAAGCCGTTCCGAGTTTCGCATTCCGCGGCTGCGGGCGGCATGCAAGCGCCGAAAGAGCCAACCCGCCCCCCCCCCGGAGACAGCGATGGCAGCCGAAGTCGGGCCCGATGGATTTCGTCGGGCCTCCTCTCGAGTGGAGCCCCAGCGGGTTCCTGAAGACGGGGCCCTGCTCGGCTGCGGCGGATCTCTTCAGCCGACACTCTCCCTCCCCTCCTCGTTCCGCACCCGAAGCACCCCCTCGCCCGCCCTTCCCACCTGGGGTCCTCGAACTCGACGAAGGCGAACGGCGGGCCCCCGCGGCGGTTCTTGAGGTCGATGTCCCGGATGGCGCCGTACTTGTAGAAGACGTCCTCGATGTCCTTGGTGCGGATGTCCGGCGGCAGGTTCCCCACGTAGATGCGGCAGTCGTTGTTCCCGGCCGGGCCGCGGATCACGCCGCCACCAGACATAGCGAGGTCGGCAATGGTTGCGGTTGGGTGGTGGGCGCGTGTGAGGGGAGAAAAATGGAAGACGGAGCCGACGAGAGGAGGCCCGGGAGCGGGTGGGGAAAGGGCAGGTGGAGATTTATAGGGGCATATATTTTAAAAAGGAGCTGAGGTAAAATTGTTTTTTTAAAAAAAGAGGGGAGAGAGGGGAGGAAAACGGCGGGAGAGAAGCAAGGAAGGTGGTGGCGGCGGCGTTAGTCGTGGCGGCGGCAGCGGTAGTAGCAGCAGCGAGGCGCCTCCTCCTCTTTTCGTTCCCACTCTTTGCAGCCGCCACAAAATGGCGCCCGCCTCACGCGGCCCTACCTGCCCTGCGCAAGGATCCTCCCGCGCCGCCTCGACGTCACACTCTGCTGGCTGGGAGGCGGGCCGTAGAGACACTCACGTTCATGCTTGCCGTTCGCTACATCCGCCTTCGAAGGGCGCATGCGCCGATTCCACCCCCCCCCCTCCGAGTAAGGGAAAAAAGTAGTCCCGACTTGTTTCTGCTGGAGGCGACGAGGAGAGGTTGGCGCACGTTTGTTTTAACGAGGTGGTGAGGGAAAAGCGGGACGACTTGTTATTTTTTAAGCCGTGCGGAGCGAAGGCGCTTCCGTTAGCCCTCAAGCGGTGCGGACCGTTAAAAGTACTTGCGAAGAAGATCCGGAGGGAGATGAGCTTCCCCCACAATGCAACACGCGTGAGAGGGCCTTGGCGCCAAGGAAAGGAATAGTCCCACAATGCCGCGCGGTTGGCCAATGGGGCGTGAGGGCAGAGGAGAATAGACGGCAAACAAAAAACAAAAACCCGCCCCAGTAGACCTAACAGGATAACTGTTAGATGTAAGACTAAGGGCAAGTGCTTCTGTTACCATAGTCTCCGCCCCGTCCCTTTCATGTAGACCTGGATATTGAAGTTGTACACCACACGTGTAACGTGTGAATGAGATAAACCAGTGTTCGAATGCCCACTTATCAGTGGCACTGCGAGTGCTCCAGTTGGAGAACATCCTCTACCAAAGGCGCCATAGGCTCTGAAGAAGCACAAACGCAGGACGAAAGGGAGAAACGTGCTAAGAGGAAGGCAGGTTTGGCAAATCCTCACTGTGATCAACTCTCGCCTGGAAACCTATGTCCCCACTGTGGAAGGACTTGCGGATCCAGAATTGACCTCCGCAGTCACTTAACGGACACACCGTTAAGACCATATTCATGGAAGACAATCTTACTCAGCTAGGAGGGATCTCCGAAGAAGAGAAGATCAAGGCACAAATTGTTGCAAATAGATTATCGCTTCCTCGTGCTGCAGGGGTTTTGTGACTAACCCCGAGTTTTCAGCCTCCTTTTATTATTTATTTATTAAATTCGTATATTGCCCTATACCTGCAGATTTCAGGGTGGTTCACAACAATACACAATGTGGTGCCCTGCACATGTTTCGGACTCGCATCAGCTGCTGGCATAGCCAATGGTCAGGGATGTGAGTTGTAGTGTAAAACATCTGGCGGCAACAGGTTAGGGGAGCGTATTTATTTTATTTATCACCTTTATATACCACCTTTTCCTCCAAGGAATTCCTCCTCCCTGTTTTATCCTGAGAAGTAGGTTAAGCTGAGAGCAGTGACTGGCCCAAAGTCACCCACTGAGCTTGGGAGGGGAGGTTATATGTTTATGTTTATTATTATGTATTTTGTATTACTATTTTGTATTTTTCTGTTGTGAAGGTATATTTATTTATTATTTTGAATAGCTATAACCTGCCTTTAAATTAAATTACTCTCAAGGCAGCTTGCAAGCGGATGGTAATACTGCATAGATCATTTGTAAGCACACAGTTTATGGTTGATGGAAGGGTCAGAGTATGGTTTCCCTTCTAATCTAGAGTCCCTTGACAAGAAACCTAAAGTTCTGGTGTGCGTTTCAATCCTTCCTACAGAATAGTTACTGGAGCCACCGTTCATTGCTAGTAATGAGCCAGAGAGCTGCTCTGATGCTGATCTTAAAGCCCAGGTAGGTCCATACGGATGAAGGTGGTCCTTAAATCTCGGACAAGGGAGGCTATAGGAACAGGAAGGAGTATAAAAAGGCTTAAGTATCTGCAGGCTGTATGCAGCAGGCTCTCTCCGCTATAGCAAGGACTCTTGCGCTAGTGGGTGGGTGAGTTTTTATGTTATGTAACAGATGAATCCCAAAGCAGCACTTGCACCAGTGGAAACTTGGTGAGCAACAGGTTGCACATCTATTATGTCACAAAGTTACCAGCAGCCTGCTTATTGCATTCTCTGTTGCACGCTGCAGTGTTCTGCTGGCACAAAAACTTTTGCTGGCGGAATAAGTATACCACCTGGCAACTTCAACTGTGCTCAACATTGGGTTGTATCCTGCTAGGTTTTACTCAAAAGTAGACCCGCTGAAATGAATGCACCTAAGTTAGGCATGTCGGTAACTTTCAATAGGTCTGCTCTGAGTAGGACTAACATTGTTTTCCTGAGCGCCCGTGCATTCCTGTATTCTTTTGTTGTCCTTTAGCTCACCTTCGGTTTTCTCCTTCGTTCTGCCTCTTGTTTTTTGGTCCTAACTATGGGACTTTCTCCATGGCTCCTGGGTCACTACAGACTGCTACCCATGCCCCAGTCCTGCCACCAGAAATTCTCAGCAAATTTCTCAGCAGAGAAGTGAGGCTACCAGCCAGCATTTAAAACTCCTTGAAGCACTTTTATTTCAGAGTGTCATTGAGCCATCTGTGGTTGATGAATCCTGCAAGTGAACAGTGCTGAGGAAATCAAAGCAGGCTTGCGGGCTGGAAACAGCACCACCAATCATTATGCCTGTTGTGTCAGTACTTTAACAGAGTGATCCTTCTGTCCCATATCTCAGGTTCATTCCTCATCACAGTCCAGCTATCGGATATCACCACAATGCCCCTTGACATGGACCCTGTGTTGCTGAACCTGTTTTGTGACCTTTTACCTTACTTGTTGTGCAGACTAGCAACTGCACTGTAATTTATGATAAATTAGGAGCTTATTTGGTTGTCAGAAGATTGCCAAATGCATAGCCTCTGTGTCTCCAATCTATAGGTGTGGGTTCTCTTTAGACACACATAGTGTAAATTAGACACACTTAGGTTTCAATTAATAAGATGTTCAAAACAATGGAAGCTCATTTCAGGTGTTCTGTAAGATCAGGAAACAATATACAAAGGACTTATTTTCAGAGGGGTAATCCTATCTAAGTATGGTTAACTACCTACATGCAGTCATGACCTTTCAGGTAAATGCTGTTTTCTTGCAAAGTCTCCTCTAATCCCATTAAGACCACCCACGCATACAACATCACCCCGCTCCTCTGACATCATTAAACACCTCCTTAGTACACACACACCCATCTTCTAGGGTTCTCATGACACACAGTTATTCTCAGACTCATACTACTTAATTTAATTTTATAGGGCAGGGCTTCTTATTCTTTTCAGTTAAGGCTATGTACACATTAGCACATGGGTAGGCAAACTAAGGCCCGGGGGCCGGATCTGGCCCAATCCCCTAAATCGGCCTACGGACGGTCCAGGAATCAGCGTGTTACATGAGTAGAATGTGTGCTTTTATTTAAAACGCACCTCTGGGTTATTTGTGGGGCATAGGAATTCATTTCCCCCAAAAAATATAGTCCGGCCCCCCACAAGGTCTGAGGGACAGTGGACCGGCCCCCTGTTGAAAAAGTTTGCTGACCCCTGCATTAGCGGCTTAAAACACAGCAAAGTAATTTTCACCCCACTGAGTTTCAAGTCACCTTTTTATGCTACTTGTAGACACCAGAAAGGGGGCAGGGATGTCTTCACCAGGTCCGCATCACCTGATTCAGTGGAGCTGTCTCCCGCACATGCGCAACAGCTGTCTCAAATGTACACACCTCAGCCTAACAGCAACGTATGCTTTCAGATCAGATGGAAGCTGGTTTGAGGGGAAATGCATCAAACAGCAGCGTGCCTCAAGAAAGTACAAGTCTCTGCCACAGACTCTTCTCACTCACTAAGCCCTGTTACCTCTTCAGCTCCTGACACCTCCCCCCAGGCTTCTCCCTCTGTGACCACTCATTGTCATCCCACCAACAATCCTCTGGCTTTTCCCTTGGGGGTCCTCCAGCTGGTTCCTCCCACCACTCCTCTGCATCCAACCAGTCAGTGGCAAGCAGCCTATATTTCCTCATCGTCTGGGTCTTCCTCAGGGGAATGTGACAGGACATGTCAATTACTTGCATAATGGCTTTTTCTGGCTACCAGCCACTGTACACACTTGACCTGCCTTTGGGATGGAGAGCTGAAGGGAGCAGTTTGAGTGTGCTAGGAAAAGAGAGAAGTCTGGGAATTTGGAAATGGCTAGCAGGAAGCAATCATGGAGGGATAGAGTGAGGAAATCCTATTGTCTAGCTTTTCAGGAGCAAATTCTGCATAAAACCCACTGCCTGTCTAGATTCTGAACCCTCCCCCCCCCAGCTCAACATGTGTATTTGTAAATGAAGAGATAATGAAATACCCAAAAATTCCAGTTATGGTTTCCCCACAAGGGAACCAGACTTGCAGAAAGGTCAATATGCGGGAGCACAAATCAATATAATGAGGAGACATCACAACACTGGGAAGTGTTTGTTCTTAAATTCCGACAACGGATTCTGACACCAGGGGACAGCAGCAGGATGGCCTACTTAGGAGGATGATTCAAAAACACAGCCTAAAGAATGATTGAGCATATTGCTGTTGTGTTGAAGGGCCCAGGGCTATTGGGAGATGCTGTGCTTTAACCACGCAAAAGGAAAATGAAGAGAAGATGAAGGCAGCATCCTGACCATTGGTGGTAATTAGTACTATGCTGATACCACAGTTTTCCTGCTGCAAAAATCCATTTCAATTATTTAATATTCTTCCTTGGATCTCTGTTCATCAGTATGTAATGTTATGTAACATCCCACAGTTACATGCTTGCAGATATATTTTGCCAAAACACAGGCAGGCTTTTCTTCTGCTCCAGGCAGCAGTCTCAGACAGATGGGGTTCTAGCTGAAGATGGATGTGTTTATGCTAGGCACAAGTTCAGCTTTCTGGGAAGGGAAGCCAGGCAAAGTCATGCAAGTGCAAGTTCGGGTTTCCAGTAAGGCAATGTCAGCAAGGACCTGATGAGTCCAAACAGATTAGAGGGCACTTTCCAGTAAGGCAAAAGTCAAGCAAAGAATTGGTCAGGTTCCAATAAGGCAAAGTTAAGCAAAGTTGGTAGCACCCTGGACAGCTTCATGTGAAGCTCAGGCTCAAATGTTGTTTCAGCAAGAAGCAAACCTTATTTAGAATGTATTTAGAACTACAACTCCGTCTGAGTTGCTAGCTCTTTCTCTGGTAATAAAAACTTCTACAATTAAGGGGTCTAGCATGGTACAGTAGTTCCTTGCATCCTAGGTCCTAAAAGAGAATACTGCATCCTCTGAATTCAGTTTCCCCCTAGTACTTTCAAGCATATAATTATATGATTCTTTGATATCACTGCGGAGCTCCCCACCCACTCCATGGAAAAGTAGAAATTCCCCCAAGAACACAGCTCTTTACTCCAGGTCACATCCCTCGCCCACACCCTCTTTGGGTGCTTTTGTCCAGTGTGAATGTGTCTTTGGACTGTGATAAC